GCGTTGATGAGGCTGCACTGGTGAGGTGGCACGGATAGGCTGCACTGATAGGTGGCACTGAAGAGCTGGCACTGATGAGGTGGCACTGATGGGCACTGATAGGTGGCACTGCTGGGCACTGACTGACCGCAGTGACTGGTGCCACTGCTGGGTGGCACTGATGAGTGGCACTGATGGGTGGAACTTCTGGGCTGCACTGCTGGGCACTGATGGGTGGAACTTCTGGGCTGCACTGATGGGCACTTGTGGGCAGCGCAGGTGGGCAGCACTGGTGGGTGGCACTGCTGGGCACCGATCATCAGGGCATTGATCATCAGTGCCCTGATGATTGGTGCCGATCCCTGCTCTGACAACAGCCGGTTCTCTTCAGTACTTTCCTCATGCTGTTACAGCGTGAGGAAAGTGCAGCTGATAACTGGCAATTGCATTTCCCGGTGATATGTGTGATTGGACCACATCACGTGATCAGCTTTGTCCATAGGACACAGCGATCACAGTGGTCGCCGGGTGCGTGCCCCTGGGGGTGCGCAGGAGAGCGCATTCTGGAAGGACGTCATATGACGCCCTTCCAGAACTGGCCGGCCGCAGTGAAGCCGTCATTTGGCTATCTGCGGGTGGCAAGTAGTTAAAGGGATTTCCTCTCACTTCCTGTTTTGGTTATGGCACAAACATCCTTTTGGCACAATACGGAGGATTAAGGCTAGGTTCACATATGTGCAGGTGGTGCCACAAAAATCCGTGCAGCCGCACCACCTGCACAGAAGAATGCAGACCCGCGGGTGGGTGCCATTAGTTCTAATGGCACGCCGCCTGCACTGGAGATCGCAACCGCACTGTGAACCGCGGTTCATGTGCGGGCTGCATTTTCAGAAGAAGTGCAGGGACTTCTTCCCTGCCTGTCACAGGGCACAGGAGTCCATTCAAATGAATGGGCTCGCGTGTCACAGGGCACAGGAGTCCATTCAAATGAATGGGCTCTCGTGCCCACGCAAAACGCAGCACGCAGGAATGCACATATGTGAACCAGGGCTAACCCCTCAAGTTCCACAGTGACTATAACAAACATGCTTTACTGCATATACAGACTGATTTTACTGATGTGGGTTTAGTAACACTTTTCACACCGGCAGCCCAATCGGGTCCACCTGTCTGTATTTCAAGTGGAACCAATCGGACCATCCATTGTTCTCTATGGAGAGGTGGATTTAAACGCACGTGTCTGTTTACCCCTGCCTGCATCCGATCCGATGGATGGGGGAATCTGTTCCCTATCGGATTGGATGAGTCGGATGTAAGCGGACAGGCAGTATGTTTCCATCCGACCGCCCCCCATAGAGAACAGCGGGTTGTGTCTGCGTCCACTCTGCACAAGTGGAGCGGACACGGACCTGTCATCCGCCTGCTCAGCCGCGATCAGCAGACAGATCTGCATCCACTTGAAAGGGTTTTAAAATGCGTTTCCAGTACACAGGCGCACACATTATTAGACATTCACATCTGTGCATTCTGCGTTTCCGGGAATGCACCAAAAATACGTAAAAACCACAAAACATGCATGCGGGGCTATTACTACTTAATGGCACCACAAACTGCCAGCAAACACATTTTTGCGAGCAGTAAATGTGCAGGAAAAAAGCGCAAAGTTCTACACCCAAAAAGGTGAAGGAGCTTCTGTGGCACGTTTGTCGCATATCGGCGCGTTGGCTAAATCGCACGCATTCTTGCTGCGCTAGGTGTGAATGGGGCCTTAAGGCCTTGTTTACATGGGTGTACTAGAGCATACACCCTGGTCAGGACCATGCGTCTGTGGCACGTTTGTCACACGTCGGCTAAATCGTACGCATTCTTGCTACGCTACGTGTGAATGGGGCCTTAAGACCTTGTTCACATGGGCGTACTAGAGCATACACCCTGGTCAGGACCATGCGTCTGTGGCACGTTTGTCGCACGTCGGCTAAATCCCACGCATTCTTGCTGCGCTAGGTGTGAATGGGGCCTTAAGGCCTTGTTCACATGGGCGTACTAGACCATACACCCTGGTCAGGACCATGCGTGTGTGGCACGTTTGTCGCACGTCGGCTAAATCCCACGCATTCTTGCTGCGCTAGGTGTGAATGAATGGGGCCTTAAGGCCTTGTTCACATGGGCGTACTAGAGCATACACCCTGGTCAGGACCATGCGTCTGTGGCACGTTTGTCGCACGTCGGCTAAATCGCACACATTCTTGCAGCGCTAGGTGTGAATGGGGCCTTAAGGCCTTGTTTACATGGGCGTACTAGAGCATACATGCAAAAAAAGGGGGGTTGTGAAAAGAAATTCACAAAGAAAGTGGCTACATTATGAACAGAGTGTGACAATCAGAAAAATTTCCAAAAATTATGCTTTATTACATATACAAGTTTGACATTTGGGCAATCGCCCTGGTTTACCATCACCTCAGTATGAGACAATACACACAGACCTAAAACCATATAAAATGACACCAAGACCGGTCCAAATAATTGTGCAACAAAGACAGTGACTACTAGAGCCTAAAATCTTTGTAGCACTGGTTCACAGGTGAACACTTCCCACAGGAGGTGTATGCAAAAATTATACCATAGGTATACCATGTAACATGTTGTAAATATGTAGACATATGCTACTACCAAAATGGTTATATCCCAAGCAGGGAGTGTCAAAACATTACACTATAGATATAAAATATCACATGTATGCAGTGCAGCAAGCACAGTATAAATCAAAAAGAGAAACATGCCTCTAGGCCTATAAGGGACAAGAAAAAATGAATGTCATATATAAAATGCAGTACACTCCTATGCCGGCACATGTGGTTGGGGCCCATTCATCTGTAATATAAGCGACTGTTTCCTTAGGGCTCTTAAATGAGAATAAGCCCCATTTGTTACCAGGATGGAAGGATAGATGCAAATAGCAGAGCACTGCTTGAAATGGTTTCTTCACCACTATATGTGGACTACACACCACTTTCTGTAAGGAAAACAAGACAAATCCCAATAAATCTTCTGCCTGTTGAGATACATGTAGTATATCCTGTTTCCTATGAAAAGCACCATGATGTCCCCATCCTGTAGTGAAACAAACAATATGTGGAAAGTCACTGGAAGAGCTTTACTCTATGTAAGATGTATAGGTTATATCGATCACAGAGGACCATATAACTAGTGTCCTGTAACAATCCACTCACCACACCTGCGCAATGGATAGTAGGAGAGGAAAAGATGTCCTTCATAGGTACTGCCTTACAAGGCCAGAGAGGCCAGGGAACAACCGCTGACATCAGCCGATATACCGCGGGTTCCAGCCTCTTCTCGGCGCCTGTGCTGCTTAAGCCTGCCTCATGGCATGTGAAGATAGCTTCCTCCTTGTAGGTCAGCGTGCGTTCCACCTAGTGCGCATGGCCGGAAGTGACGTATCTGACGTATGACGTCAACGCGTTTTGCCGATGGGCGTATCTCACTCAGCTTGGTCCTGACGAAGCTGAGCGAGATACGCCCATCGGCGAAACGCGTTGACGCATATTTTTTGGCTACTGAATGGAGGCCATCTACTGGGTGATATGGTAATTTATTATACAACCTCTAAATAACTATCTTTGTACTAGAGCATACACCCTGGTCAGGACCATGTGTCTGTGGCACGTCGGCTAAATCCCACGCATTCTTGCTGCGCTAGGTGTGAATGGGGCCTTAAGGCCTTGTTTACATGGGCGTACTAGACCATACACCCTGGTCAGGACCATGCGTGTTCCGTGCCCATTTATGTCTTTTGGCACTCAGACGCTGCGTGGGGGTTGGCACGTGGCCTTGAACGCAGTCTGCATTTGGGGGCACACACCTGTGCAAATGTCAGATTGGGAGCAGCGTCTGCGCCTGTGCTGTCACTACGTCCCGAATGACATGAATGGGACTGCCTGGCTGTACAGAACACCCGCGCATCCCCATGCGGCCCTCACACAGGCCTTCGACTTAATATATTGCGTTTGTGCGCCCTAACCCCAGCGCTTGCAATATACTTCCTCCTCACCACCTGCCCCCCGCCATTGCGTCAGGACCCAATTCTCTTCAGTGGGTCACATTCGGTGGCGGCACGGTCTGCCAAGCGACATGCTATTTATTTTTTTGCTACTCCCGTTTTTTCAGGCAGTCAAGAGGTGGTAAAACTGAAGCGCAACCGTCTGCTTTTACTACCCTCCGGGTGCCAGTGTGAATGAACCCCAAGAAGCATCTACAAATTGGGGTCTGAGGTATTTTCTTCGAATTTTTTTACAAGCATTTTTCTTAAACGTAAGGCAGACCGTTTATTATCATGAAAGGCCTACTTCGTTATAATTGGGAAACACCAATGTCTTCTCCTTCACAATTGGAGCCATTTTATACCCTGCACACCTCACTACAGACAATTCCAGTCACAGCCGAAGCCCCGCCCTCCTGGTATAGTTAGCGTCCCATATCCATATATGGAGGCGCCCTGCCCCGAGGCACACTGGGAGTTGTAGTCTCCCCTTCCGCCTCTACACCTGAGTAGTAAGGCGGTGCGGACTACATCTCCCATGATGCTCCTGGTCGGGAGAACGCTCTTACCTGACTGTGAGTCTGTGGGGAAGTTTAATAATTGTCCGGCGTGTGAGTGGTGGAGAAGAGGGAGGTGTGTGAGCCGGGACACTGGGTGACACTGACAGGTGAGTACCAGCCGGCTGCTGGGGGCCTTCCAGTGACTTTCCTAAACTTTCTACGCGCTGACGCCGCTGTTCTGTTGTCATGGTAACCAGTGACAGTGTGAGGAGGAAGTTAGTTCTGTAACAGGGAAGTTTTATCCTGACAGATCGGGGCCATCTTCAACCAGTATGTTGTCTGTGGTTGCCTCTCTAAAGATGACCCTACACCAGGGGAGGACTGACCATTTGGAAACTCGGACACTGCCCGAGGGCCGGGGGTCAGTAGGGGCCCCCATGAGATGCCCCTGGTACCTTTTTCATAGGCTTTTTTGAGTTTGGGCAAGGACACAGGGGCCCCATGATCCCCTATTGCCCGGGGGCCCCATGAGTTGTCAGTCCGCCCCTGCCCTACACTATGTTATAAAAACCAATAGGAGGTAGGCCCTTACATGACATAGTTAATGCAGATCTGAAGGAGATTGTACAATCAGATTGTATAGTGTATGGTCATCATAGCAATGTACACTGCCCCAAAGAATGAACAGAACACTTTTTAATCAGAGTGTAGCTCATCAAATCAATGAAACTCCTGGGATATTGATCTGGTCAGTTAAGTAGCAGAGGGGGTTGTTCATCAGTTTCAGCTGCTTTGGTGTTAATGAAATTAATAACAGGTGCACTAGATGGGCAACAATGAGACCACCCCCAAAACAGGGATGGTTTTACGGGTGGAGGCCACTGATATTTTTTCCCTACTCATCTTTTCTGACTGGTTTTCACTAGTTTTGCATTTGGCTAGGGTCAGTGTCACTACTGGTAGCATGAGGCCATACCTGGACCCTACAGAGGTTGCACAGGCAGTCCAACTCCTCCAGGATGGCACATCAATACATGTCATTGCCAGAAGTTTTGCTGTGTCTCCCAGCACTACAGTCCATTTAACATGATTTCCTATGGGACACGTTCAAATCTCCGCGTTTTCACCTGGTGCGTTTTTTGAGAAGGGTCAGGGACTTTTTTAGATGCTAAAGGTTGTGTTTTTGGTTAAATAGACTTCAATGGAGATGCTGCAGAAACGCATGTAGCAGTTTTTTATGCATTTTTGATGCGTTTTGCATTTTAATCAGCCAAGGAACAAGTTGGCCAAAAAAATCCCCATAAAAATGTGAAACGCATCAAAAACGCGTCACAAACACATGTGCAAATACCACTGCAGAAATGGATCAAATGCAAACTGCGTAGGTGTAACCCTGTGTGGGTGGTGCCGTTGCGGATCCGCACAAAAATCAGTGCAGCCGCACCACCCGCACAGAAAAATGCGGACCCGCAGGTGGGTGCCATTAGTTCTAATGGCACGCCGCCCACAGTGGAAAACGCAACCGTACTGGGAACCGAGGTTCCTGTGCAGGCTGCGTTTTCCACAGAAGTGCAGGGACTTCTTCCCTGCATGTCAGGGGCACGGGAGTCCATTCAAATGAATGCGGTCTCGTGCCTGTGCAAAACACAGCCCGCACGGCCGCATAGGTGTGAACCTAGCCTTAGATCTACCAACAAACTAGGTAGTGTGGCCGGCCTGATTGGATAGATTGGGTTTGTCCTACTATATCATTTTGTACATCTTAAGCCAGCGGTGCATAGACGGTGCAAATTTCTTTCTTCCAGTAACGAAAGTCGCTCAATCCCCCATCAATACAGTCAGTGTTGATGGGGGAATCCCTCCCATGGAGCAGGGGAGAGGAGCTGTCCCTATCAGCGGAGCACAGCTGAGACTAGCTTTGTAGCCAGTGCAAATCAGTGGCCAGCGCTGTCGCTGTTGGATGGGGCCCTGTTCACATCTGAGTGGATTGTAAATGTGGGATCACGCACTTCTGCCTGTGTTTCCAGAACGTACTAAAAACACGGATTATCTGCTCTCATTTGACCATCTGAATGAGGCCTTAGGCTGGCTGTACGTGGAATGAATTTCAGCAAGCATTTGTACAGCCGTCACAAATAATCGCTGTAATTTGCCAAATATGTTTATTTCCTATGAATGTCAGCTCCATCTAGTGGCCAGAAAGAAGTATTTTTCTGATTAAGGTATTTCAGGGAAATACCGCATTATAGCCACTAGGTGGAGCTGACAGCCATAGAAAATAAAAATATTAGACCGTGAATATTCCTGATGACGATGCAACTTGAGAAATTCCCAGTCTCTTTTTAGGGATGCACCAAAATTTCGAAAATACCGCTGTCAGCCTTTGGCCGATATGAAAATAGGCATTTATACAGGTGCCAAAAATAGCCCCACCTCCCGCCGCTGGTCCCCCTCACCGCTGTCACCTTCCAGTGGTTCTCAGGCACTACTTTAGAAATTGGTGCGGCTCCGACCAAGTCGGAAACGTACCGATATGACCGCTGTAATTGCAGACAATATGTTACATGCAAATCGCATGCCAAGTCGCACCCAGTGTGATCGGGGACTGGCCACACACATAGGTCACAGATTGTTGATGTTTTTAAAGTCCACCGTACCCTGTAAGTCTGATTGTACAATTTCTTTTAGATCTGCCATCCACTATTTAGTGCAAGGCCCAACCTGATTTTATACGAATTGAATAGATTGTTTAGGTTTGACCCCCTAGTACATTGGTCTCCAAACTGCGGCCCGGGGGCCAGATGCGGCCCTTTGCTTGCTTTTATCAGGCACTATTTTCATCCACTGATACCAACAATGAGGCATAATCCCTCCATCCCCCTGACACCAATGAAGGGGCAGAAATACTCCCAATGACACCAAAGATGGTGTACAATTCCTCCCAATAACACCAACAATGAGGCCCGATGACACCAACAATGGTGCACTTTTCCTCTCACTAACACCAAAGATGCGGCATTTTTTATTCCCACCAACATCGGTACCTTTTCTACTCCCAATGCCCACAGTCCAGCCCCCCTTAAATCTGAAGGACAGCAGACTGGCCCTTTGTTTAGAAAGGTCGGAGATCCCTGCCCTAGTATATAGTTTTGGTAAATCTATTTGAGATTGTACAGAGATTGCACAATCAGATTGTCCAAAGTATGGCCAGACTAACTGTTTTTGTGATTGGAAGCTGATTGATAGTGGTTGACATTGCCTAAATATTCTCTTGTGCATGCCCACATTTAATTTCTAAAAGGTACATCCAAGCAGCGCTGGGTCTTCAACACAGCAGTGAAGGAAAAACAATCATTGGCTTTGTATGTATACATGGCTACCCTCTAATACACGGGTGTCAAACTGGCGACCCTCCATCTGTTGCCAAACTACAAAAAAAAAAAAAAACCCTCTAGCAATACACACTAAACTGAGCATGTGCAGAATGGCTACAGTTCATTCTGTCTTATCAGGAGATAAGACCTGGACATTTGAAAAAGGAGGAGGAGCAGAGACATCAGGATCAAACGGCTTTTTTACACAGTGCAGAGGATTAACCCCTTAGGTTAAGTGAGTATAACAAGCATGCTCTACTGCACGGGTGTCAAACTGGCAGCCCTCCAGCTGTTGCCAAACTACAAGTCCCATGAGGCATTGCAAGATTGACAGTTACAAGCATGACTTCCAAAGGCAGAGGCATGATGGGACTTGTAGTTTTGCAACATCTGGAGGGCTGCCAGTTTGACACCTGTGCAGTAGAGCATGCTTGCTATACTCACTTAACCTAAGGGGTTTAATCCTCTGCACTGTGTAAAAAAGCCGTTTGATCCTGATGTCTCTGCTCCTCCTCTTTTTCAAATGTCCAGGTCTTATCTCCTGATAAGACAGACTGAACCGTAGCCATTCTGCACATGCTCAGTTTAGTGTGTGTTGCTAGAGAGGGTTTTTTTTTTTTTTGTAGTTTGGCAACAGCTGGAGGGCTGCCAGTTTGACACCCCTGCTCTAATAGGTACGAGAAAATCACTCTCCAGACCAAAATTGTGAAAGAGTCCTAAAAGCTTTAGGACTGGTTCACATTATAGAAATTTGCATTCTGGATACGTTTCTGTATGCAGCTTTTTGATGTGTTTCGTTGCATTTTTGGCGTGTTTTTGATGCATTTTTTATGTGTTCCGGTTCTTTATTATTGTCATTATTATTGTACAGGATTTATATCGCGCCAACAGTTTGCTCAGCATTTTACAATATAAAGGGAGACAATACAGCAACAATACAGTTCAATACAAGAGGGATAGGAGGGCCCTGATCCTGGGAGCTTACAATCTAGGAGGGAGGGGCTAGTGGTACAAAAGGTAATAACTGTGGGGGATGGACTGGTTGGAAGAGTAGAAGATTCCATTATTAGCTGAGGGCAGGATAGGCTTCCCTGAAGAGATAGGTTTTCAGAGATCGCCTAAAAGTGAGCAGAGTAGGCGATAATCTGATAAATTGGGTAGAGAGTTCCAGAGGATGGGGGAAGTTCTGGAGAAGTCCTGGAAATGAGCATGGGAGGAGGAGACAAGGGAGCTAGAGAGTAGGAGACATTGATCATTGTCACGTGCTCAAAAAGGAGGGGAAATCTTCCAATTGGGACACCTGTATGCTGTTAACAGCTGTCTAAGAGGGATTTCCAGGAGTAGAGGCTGTAAAGTTTAGGTCCCACATCATTACAAATCCCTCTTATCAGAGTGCTGTGTGGAATCTGAACTGTGAGCAGAGCTATGCCCAGTCAATGTTCTATTCCAATGGTTTAATTTTTCCTGATCCTTGGAGCTTACAATCTGGGAGGGAGGGGCTAGTGGTACAAAAGGTAATAATCTTTTTTCCTCTCTTTTTCTGCAACTTAAATTGGTACATGTACGTTACAGTGCGCTTTTGGTGAATTTAGATGCATTTTTGATGCGTTTTACTGCGTTCCAGTACAGTTTAGTGCAGAAAAATGCAGCATGTTCTACTTTTTCTTCTGAAACTGGAACGCACTGGAACAGACTGCACTGGTGTGAACTATTCCATTGGAAACCATGTAACCTGCTATCAATGAGTTTTTGTTGCAGAAAAAAAAAAATGCACTGGACTGCATGTGGTGTGAACTGGCCTTAAAAACTTCCAGCACGTTTCAGGAGCAAACCCCCTCCTTCATCAGGGCTAGCAGTATATATCAACTGACGTATGCTACGGATAATACGCATAAATCTCCAGCTGATAAATCTGAAAGCTGCTAGAAATAGTGCCATTAACTATTTACATATAATTATACATTATGTGAGATTTTAAAATAATCACTCGGAGAATTATGTGTGTTATTATCCATGATATACTCGACTTTAAACCCTGATGAAGGGCGGGGTTCGTCCTGAAATGTGCTGGAAGTTTTATTGTTAACTGTTACAGCTTTTTGGACTCTTGCAATTTTGGGTCTGGTGATCCTTTATTTGGATTAAAGTGATTTCT